TATCATCAAAAAGCTTACCTTCCCAGGCTGCCCTCGCGCTTTGTCCCGGACTCCCGCCGCTGAAACAACTGAAAGCTATTGCTTCTATCCAGAACAACATAAACCATGACACATGTACCGTAAGCATCTAATTATTTCTTGATAATTCTGCAACTATTTTGTTTCATTCTATGAACATGTTTTATTTAGGGATCCATTCCAGGTGTTAATCACTCTCAATGTAAAGAACAAACTTCTCATATCAGTCACAAGTTAGCCTCTTTCTAGTTTGAAATAACATTTCCTCATTCTGTTAATCTATATTACACTGTGGAATCTGTACTCACTTACTGTAACCTCTGGGTGCAAACCACTGCTTCCTTCAAAATGAACAGGGTCTTTTAGTCGTTGTCTCTCATTATGGCTGATAATACCAAATTCCACAGGCGCTGCCTTGATCGTATGTCATTACCCGACTTACCCCCATAGATATTTTTAATCAAGCAATTCTGAAATCTTACCGCGCACTTTTACAGCAGGTGAGACTTGAACCTAGTTCTTCTAGCTCAGAGATATGTACACTGCCACTGCCTGACAAGAGTCTTAGGAGCTGTCAAAAGAATACAATTGGAGCCTGAATGCACAACTTTAGACCACTTAGCCACACCGGAAATCTTCATTCCCCAAATAGAGTCATAGAGTGATACAGCACGGAATCAGACACTTTGGTCCATCTCATCTGTCCCGACCAGACATCCCAATCTGAGCTAGTCCCATTTGCCAGCATTTGGCTCATATCCTTCTAAACTCTTCCTATTCATGTACCCATCCAGATGCCCTTTAAATGTTGTCATTATACCCGCCTCCATCACTTCCTCTGGTAGCTCATTCCAAACATGTACAACCATCTGCGTGAAAAGTTACCCCTCAGGTTCCTTTTAAATCTTCTCCCTCTCACCTTAAACCAATGAACCTGTGCCATGTGATGAGAGTGCCAAATCCTAACTACTAGAACACCAGGTAACCTACCTACCCGTTGTAAAGAACAGCTTAATGTAGAATGTGGTCTTTTAATCCTTTGTGTTTTCAACTTCATTGCAAAGGAAGAATTCAACATCGAAGATCCTTGGGCTATTGTTGTGCAGTGGTAATGTGCCAGAAAATCCAGATTCAAGTCTCATCTGTTCCAGAGGTGTGTCTGAGCTGGTTGTTTAACAGTCACTGCAGGATCCTCAGTGCCTCTGTAGCAAAACAGTCAAATACCATGAAACACAGTAAAGTACCAATTTATTGAATAAAATCAAACAATACTTACATCCAGTTAAGAAAAACCTAATCAGAGATAGTAGGAACTGCAGATGCTGGAGAATCCGAGACAACAAGGTGCAGAGCTGGATGAACACAGCAGGCCAAACAGCATCATAGGAGCAGAAAGGCTGACGTTTCGGGCCTGGACCCTTCATCAGAAATGGGGGAGGGGAAGGGGGTTCTGAAATAAATAGGGAGAGAGTGCGAGGAGGATAGAAGATGGATAGAGGAGAGGATAGGTGGAGAGGAAACAAACTGGTCGGAGAGGCGGGGATGGAGCCAGTAAAGGTGAGTGTAGGTGGGGAGTTAGGGAGGGGATAGGTCAGTCCAGGGAGGACGGACAGGTCAAGGGGGAGGGGAGATTTTGAAGCTTGTGAAATCCACATTGATACCATTGGGCTGCAGGGTTCCCAAGCGTCCACATTGATAAAACCTAACTTAGGTTTTATCCAAGTCTAATTCCATGATGAGAGCCAGGAGGTAGCTTTACATTTAGCTAATTATAATTGCTTCTTTATTTGAATGACAATCCACACGAAACTGGAAGACTGACCATGCAGACTTTAGTGTGTGTTGCCTTGCATTGCTCTGCAAATGGTAAATGGAATGCAAGGAGTCCACTGTTTTAAAATGAAACAAAGTTATCACCGGTGGTGAGAAGGGAGAGAGACCTGTGAGATCTTTCTTGTATGCCCAGACTTTCTGTGCCACTACACAATGCCCTCGAAGCAGTTTGAGGGTGGGGTCGGGGTGTAGAGACTGTCACACACACATCTTTCTGGAATGTGCCTTTGCAAAGGGAGTCTGGAGAGCAATGTAGTGGTTTTTGTCCGTGACGCAGCACCCTGTGCTGTATGGTCTGTTTCCCAGGATGCACACCGAGACAAATATCGATTGCACCTGGAGGACCATCACCCTCGTGAAAGATGCTTTTTAGTCTGCCTGAAACTTGTTGATCTTCCAGAGCAAGGAGTTGACTTTGACTGAGTGTTGCAAACTGGCAAATTCTAAGGTCCAGGACTATGTGCTGAGGGACGCACTAAAGCTTGGGGCAGCTGCTGCCAAGGCACAATGGGGAAAGACACTGTCTGAGGTCTTTCTGCTGAAGTTGAATGGGCGTCCATTCAGTTATCGGAGCCCCCCACCCCAGGTACCTCACTATATGTAAATATATTCTTCTACAAGTTAGAAATGCCTTGGGTTTGTTTGCTGGATAGATTCACACTCCAATATTTTGTTTGTTTCTTCATATGCTACTGTACAGAACCAAACTGCTTTAGTGACTATGTATGCATATAAATATAAAATATATTTTTAAAATAAAAAAGGCCTCTAAGGCAGGGCCTCCCAAAGTGAGGGTTGTGATCCCTAATGGAGTCAGTAGCTGTTATGGAGCTCTGAGTGCTAACAGTATCATGACCCTTTTAATAGAAGATTAGCCTAACTGAACACTCCTGGAGACCTGAAGTTATTTTAATTAACCTGTTCAGAGATGTTATTACATACCTCTGGAGAAGGTGGGTCTTGAACCTGGGTCTCCTGGCTCAGAGGGAGGGACACTACCACTGCACCCACGAGCGCCCCCCCACCCCTGGAGACATGAAGCCTGTCCTGAAATCCTAATGGAAATGTTGGTTGCATTATAATTTGGATTTAACAGCTCCCTTCACAGCTGCTGCTCTCGTAGCTCTTCCACCCCTCTCTCATACACAAACTTGCTCCGTTTCCCTACTCCCTTTGCCCCCTGATAGATTTTGCGCACACTCACAGATTGGTCCACGCACCCCTCCATCAGCTATCATGGACTCCCCCACTTACTCCACTGTCCCAGGCCTCGGCTCTTGGCAAGTTGAAAGCGCAAAAACACGGTCAAGATGGGAAAGAGTTAGGGAAGCCTTGCCTTAGGAAGTACTGTAGTTAAAATTCAAATGTCAAAGGTAGCATAGCAAATTTAAACCAAAATACCATTTGTGCAGAAGAAGCCTAACCAGGTACTTTTTTTTCAGTACGTTTTAATTGAAGGACAATTAGTATTAATCAAATTGCTCTGATTACTTTCAGTTTAGCTAATAGTCAGTAATCTAGCCATTAGAACATATTTCTTTCTGGATAGTTCCTCATGTGTGCATGTCAATTGCTTTCGGCCCCATCACCCCAGTGGGAGTTAAAGTTCTCTCAAATAGACTCCAAGCTCTCCACATTGTGGAGCTTCTTGCATCCAGAACATTCCTCATTGCTAATTCTCTGCTACAATTTTTTTTCTCCCTTGTAGATAACTGAACTATCCAAAGAGGGGTTCAAACTGAAGGAGGCTTTGAACAGTCTGTCGGAGCAGGCTAATGCTGCAGCACTACCTCCAAAAGCAAACCCCTTACCCCACCAACAACACACGGAGGCTACACAAAGGCAGATCAGATTGTTACAGCAGCAGCTAGCAGTAAGTAGGCCATTTGGCTATCGTGGGGGATGGGTAGGAGGATAACAGGACTGCAGGAATTCCTGGATGGAGGATGATTTAAATTTACTGAGTTACTTTTCAGTTATCATGGTTACATCAATAAAGGTAGCTTATGAGAGGGTGGCACAGTGGTTATCTCATTGGATTGATGACTCAGAAACTCAGGTTAACTGGATTGCAAAAGATTATATTCACTGGAGTTTGAAAGAATGAGGAAGGGGATCTGATATAAACTTATAAAATTCCATCAGAACTAGACAGGATAAATGCAGAAAAAGATTTCCCAATGATAGGGGAATTCCAGAACTAGGGGTCACTGAGTAAGGGGTAGGTCATTTCACACTGATTTGGGTATTGACTTGGGGATGATCAACCATGATCAGATTGAATAGTAGAACAGACTTGAAGGGCTGAATGGCCTGCTCCTGCTCCTATTACTGATGCTTAGGGCGTCCGGGTTCAAATCTCACCATGACCGCTTGTGGAATTTAGAGTTCTTGTGGAACTGTGGTAATGTCCCTACCTCTGAGACAGGTGTCCCATGTTCAAGTCACACCCTCTCAAATGTGTAATCACATCTCTGAGAAGATTGATTAGGAAATACCTGCGGCAAAACTGGTATGGTTAACAATAGGGATAACAGCCCAATGAGTCTATTCTGCTATCATTCCATTTTATTACCACGACTTTAAACTTCCAGAAACACTTGACCAACAAAAATCTATTGAGCTGTGACTTCAAAATCTGCCTTTTATGTGAAGAAATGCTTTCTTTTTTTTAATCTTTCCTGAGATGTGGGTATCATGAGTAAACCCAGCATGTGTTACCCATCCCTGGTTGGTCTTTGCTGAGAGTGGCTTGCTGAAATATGTCAGAGGGCAGTTTAGCGTTAACCATGTTGCTATGGGCCTGGAGTCACGTGTGGGCCAGACTGGGTAAGGGCAGCAGATTTCCCTTCCTAAAGCGAACCAGATAGACTTTTACTACAGTTGGTGATATTTGTCACAATCACTATTACTAAGACTAGCCTTCAATTCCGGAGGTTTTTTTTTTAAATGAATTGAATTTTAATCCTGTTTCTTCGATGGGATTGAGCTCATGTACCCAGGATGTTTTCCTGGGCCTTGGATTTCTAGTCTAGTGATTTACCACTGCGTCACTTTCTCCCCTTAAATTTGACCAAGTTGGTCTCAGTGCAACAGATCCGGATGTGAGATGAAGAAACCTCTCAAGTGGTGGGAAGTGTTAGGAACCATAGGTCCAAGGTCGAATAGGAATGCCACCACCTGCACAGTTCCCTCCAAGCCACCCATCCTGATTTGGAACAATGTCACCTCTCCTTTGCTGTCGCTGGGTCAAAATCCCTCCCTAACAACACCTACACTACATGGACTACAGCAACTCAAGAATGCAGCTCACCACCACCTAAAAAAGGGCAGTCAGGGATGTATCAGGCTATAAATATTGGCCCAGCTAGCATCACCCCTGTCATATTAATCATTGAATCATAGAATCCCTATAGTGCCCAAAGTGATGATTCAGCCTATTGAGTTTGCCCTGACCCTCTGATGAGCATCCCACCCATCCCCATAATCTCCCATGGAACTTTTATCATGGCTAACCCAAGTAACCTACACAGCCCTGGACACTATGCGACAATGTTTTAGAATGGCCAATCCACCTAACCTGCACATCTTTAATGAATAAAATAAAACAGGACTGACTCACATAGTGATCTCCCTATACTGCACACTGCTCACACACTCACTGCACCAAAGACCTCACGAAATTGGAATCCAACGTATGCATAATCAAAAGTGTGCGCACGTGATCCAGACTGCCTTTTTGACTCCAAAATGAGCAAGTATTGCTGAAAATGTGGATGTTACAGTATCGAATCATGGAGCACTTGATTCTTTTCTTGTCCTTTAGCTCGTCTCCACCTTCTCCAGGTCAGTTAGGGCTGGCCTAGCCAGCGATGCTCATATCCTGTGAATGAAAAAAAGAAAAGAAACCTGTTCCAGCCAAGCACACTACAATTAGCATGTGACTTCTCAATTACCTCCCAAAATGTTACAAACTGAGAATGAATGAATTAAAACCGAGAGAATTGTGGATGCTGTAAATCAGAAACAAAAACAAAGTTGCTGGAAAAGCTCAGCAGGTCTGGCAGCATCTGTGAAGGGAAAAACAGAGTTAATGTTTTGGGTCCGGTGACCCTTCCTCAGAACTGAGGATTAATTAAACTGCATTTGGGTGAATTGATGCTATCTGCTTCCACTGCCTGTTATATCAATTGACCACTTGCTCAATGCTTTAAACACGGCACTGATATTAAAACATTACCCAGCACTGAAGTACATCACCAAGGACAATAGCAATGCATGATCTTGGGTCAGAAGATGTAGAATGCACATGGATGGAAGTTATAAGGAGAAGAACACACTGTTGATATGAGTCAATAGGGCAGTAGCTGTTCTGTGGGACAGAGAATAAATCAGGAGATAATGAAAGAAAATAAAACAGTCAGTGCATTATTTTTGGGTGAGTTTAATCTTAATGTAGATAGGGATAGTCAGATTAGCAGAGGAAACTATGAGGATAAATTCATAGAGTGTGTTCAGGATAGTTTCCTCAAACCACATGTTGTGAATCCATCCAGGGATCAGACTATTTGGATCTGGTATTGTGGCAAGTTTAATTAATGATATCAGAGTAAAAGATATCTAAGGAAACAGTGACCATAACGTGATCAAATTTTGTTAGAATTGCAGTGGTTCGAGAAGGCAGCTCACCACCACCCTCTCAAGGGCAACTAGGGATGGAAAATAAATGCTAGCAACGCCAGAGACAGTCACATCCCACTAATGAATAAAACTAAATCAGTTTGAGGGTGAGAAATTGGTTCAGAAACAATTGTGCGAAATGTAAATGAGGGCTGCTGCAAAGGAATTTAACAGGAAGACACTTGAAGAACAATGTTTAAGGAAATAGTTCATGCCTCATAGCAAAGATATATTCCAGTGAGGAAGATGGATTCCAGGAAGGGGATTAGCTGACCAAGGTTGACCAGGGAAGTTAAGGACAGCATCAAAATGAAAGAAGAAAACATGAAATGTGCCAAAGATTAGTAGTAGACCAGAGAAATGAGGAAGTTTAAAACTTACAAAAAAGTGACCAAAAAAAGTAGAGATAAAGTAAACTTTAGGACAAATTAGCACATAATATAAAAACACACAGTGAGAGCTTCTTTAAATATATAAAGAGGATGAGAAGCCAAAGTGAACATAGGACCCTTGGAGAATGAGGCTGAGGAAATAATGATGGGGAACTAGGAAATAACAGAGGAGCTGGATAAATAATTTGCAAAATTCTTTAGGTAGAAGACATCTAATAACATTGCAAAACTACTAAAACAGGGGGCAAAAATGGAAAGAAATAAATACAATAATTATTACTAGAGAAAAAATACTAAGTAAATTAATGGGGCTAAAGGCAAATACATCATCTGGATGTTTTCTAAGATATTGAATGAAATAGTTACAGAAATAGTGGATGTACTGGTAATAATCTTCTAAAAATCCTTGTCTTCTGAAAAGTCCCAAAGGAACTATATACTATAGGCAAGTTAGGTTAAGATCTGTCATTGAGAAAATGTTAGAGTCTATTATAAAAGACATAATAGTAGAATATTCAGAAATGTGTAATATGATCAAATAGAGTCAGCATGGCTTCATAAAGGGGAACTCATGCCTGACAGGTTTATTAGCATCCTTTAAGGAGATAACAGCAGGATAGACAAAGAGGAACCAGTGGGTGTAATATATTTGGATTTCTAAAAGGCATTCACTAAGATGATGCACATGAAGGTGGCATGGTGGCACAGTGGTTAGCAGTGCTGCCTCACAGTGCCAGGGACCTTAGTTTGATTCCAGCCTTGCGTGACTGTCTGTGTGGAGTTTGCATGCTGCATGTCAATGTGGGTTTCCTTTGGGTGCTCCAGTTGTCTCCCACAGTCTGAAGATGTGCAAGTTAGGTGCATTGGCCACGGGAAATGCAGGGATAGGATAGGTGGTGTTGGTCTGGGTGGGATGCTCTTTGGAGGGTCAGTGCAGTTCTGATGGATTGAATGGCTTGCTTCCACACTGTAGGAATTCAATTATTCTAAGTTACAACTGTATGACCAGAGTTAGATACAAGGTACAGTAAGTGGATAGTATTACCAAGCGTAGGTATAAGAATATTGAGTGTTTCCTGACCAGCCTTGCTGAGGTCGTTGAGCTTTTTCTGCATCTCCTTACTGTCCTGGGATTAAGGAATGTCAATGCCACCTCCTCTACGTGGCATGAGCTACATTTCTGGGTGGGGTGGGTGATCCTGTCTCCCAACGAGGAGACTCCATCTTCAACCTTCAAATAATGTGAGAAAGGTTTGGAGGATCCCAAATTAGTGAAATTATGCTTATTTCTGAACCAATGTGATAAAAACAAAAATAAAACAGCGAGATTGCTGGTGATTGTTTCAGATCTCCAGTATCCACAGTTCATTGTTTTATTTTACAATGTAATAAAAATATCATTTAGACATGAGTTGACACTATTTAAGTAGTGAAGTGAAAAAGCCAAACACTGATCTATTTTACCTGAATGCACCGTGATCTCCCAGAGTTAAGACTAAGCAGATGTTAAAGGCAGGTTCCAAGTAGCTGTGCTACTTTCACCCATCTATCAATTACATCCAGTCAAATGCAATTGAGCAAAACTGCAAAATGAATGTGCAACTCAACCTGGAGATAGTAAGAACTGCCGATGCTGGAGTCAGAGATAACACAGTGTGGAACTGGAGGAACACAGCAGGCCAGGCAGCATCAGAGGAGCAGGATCAGAAAAAGAAGAAGGGTCCCGATCCGAAATGTCAGCTTTTCTGCTCCTCTGATGGTGCCTGGCCTGCTCTGTTCCTCCAGCTGCACACTGCGTTATACATGTGCGACTCTACCTACTGGCCACTGGAGGGTGTGTTCTAGTTTAAAACTGGCAGCAAAGCCTTAATTGAAGAAATTCTCAGTTTCACAGAAAATGTTACTGTTTGGAAATGCTCCAGTAAAACCTGATCTGTTCCTCTTGGCAGCAAGCAGAGTGTAACCATAGAGCCATCGTGACTATTTATCGATCACATCTTCTCTGCGCTGTTCAGGTAAGGAGCTGAATGCTGACATCACATTCCTGATGGTTTAAAGATAGTAGAAACTGCCGATGCTGGAGAATTTGAGATAACAAGGTGTGTAGAGCTGGATGAACACAGCAGGCCAAGCAGCATCAGAGGAGCAGGAAAGCTGATGTTTCGGGTCTGGAACCTTCTTAAGAACTGGGGGAGGGGAAGGAGGCTCTGAAATAAATAGAGAGAGAGAGGGAGGCGGATAGAAGATGGATATAGGAGAAGATAGGTGGAGAGGAGACGGACAGGTCAAGGAGGTGGGGATGGAGCCAGTAAAGGTGAGTGTAGGTGGGGAGTTAGGGTGGGGGTTGGTTAGTCAAGGGAAGACGGACAGGTCAAGGAGGTGGGGATGAGGCTGGTGGGTAGGAGGTGAGGGTGGGGTTTGAGTTGGGAGGAGCAGATAGGTGGAGAAAGGACAGACAGGTCAGGGAGGTGGGGACGAGCTGAGCTGGTTTTGGGATGCGGTCGGGGTCGGTGAGAGTTTGAAGCTTGTGAAGTCCACATTGATACCATTGGGCTGCAGGGTTCCCAAGCGAAATATGAGGTGCTGTTCCTGCAACCTTTGGGTGGCATCATTGTGGCACTGCAGGAGGCCCAGGATGGACATGTCGTCCAAGGAGTGGGAGTGGGAGGGGAAGTTGAAGTGGTTCGCGATTGGGAAGTGCAGTCGTTTGTTGCGAACCGAGCGTAGGTGTTCCACAAAGTGGTCTCCAAGCCTTCACTTGGTTTCCCTGATGTAGAGGAGGCCACATCGGGAACAGCGCATACGGTGTACCATATTAGCAGATATGCAGGTGAACATCTGTTTAATATGGAAGGTTTTCTTGGGCCTGAGATGGGGTGAGGGGGGAGGTGTAGGGGCAGGTGTAGCACTTCCTGCGGTTGCAGGGAAAAGTGCCGGTTGTGGTGGGGCTGAGGGGAGTGTGGAATGGACAAGGGCGTCACGGAGAGTGCGGTCCCTCCAGAAGGCAGATAAGGGTGGGGAGGGAAAAATGTCTTTGGTAGTGGGGTCAGCTTGCAGGTGGCGGAAGTGGCGGAGGATGATGTGTTGGATCTGGAGGTTGGTGGGGTGGTATGTGAGGACGAGGGGAATTCTGTTTTAGTTGTTATTGCGGGGAGAGGTTGTTGCTTGTCCTCGTTTTTCAAGGACCGCAACATCCCCCCCTCAGTGGTTGAAAACACCCTCGACTGCATCTCTCACGTTTCACACAACTCATCCCTCACACCCCCCTCCCGCAATAACAACCAAAACAGAATCCCACTCGTCCTCATGTACCACCCCACCAACCTCCGGATCCAACGCATCATCCGCCGACGCTTCCGCCATCTGCAATCTGACCCCACTACCAAAGACATTTTTCCCTCCCCACCTTTATCTGCTTTCCAGAGGGCCCACTCTCTCTGTGACTCTCTTGTCCACTCCACACTCCCCTCCAGCCCCATCACACCTGGCACTTTTCCCTGCAACCGCAGGAAGTGCTACACCTGCCCCTACATCTTCCCCCTCACTCCATCCCAGGACCCAAGAAAACCTTCCACATTAAACAGATGTTCACCTGCACATCTGCTAATGTGGTATATTGTATTCGCTGTTCCCGATGTGGCCTCCTCTACATCGGGGAAACCAAGCGGAGGCTTGGAGACCGCTTTGTGGAACACCTACGCTCGGTTTGTGACGAACGACTGCACCTCCCAGTCACGAACCACTTCAACTCCCCCTCCCACTCCCACTCCTTGGACGACATGTCCATCCTGGTTCTCCTCCAGTGCCACAATGATGCCACCCGAAGGTTGCAGGAACAGCACCTCATATTTTGCTTGAGAATCCTGCAGCCCAATGGTATCAACGTGGACTTCATAAGCTTCAAAATCTCCCCGCCCTCAAATGCATCCCAAAACTAGCCCAGTACGTCCCCGCCTCCCTGACCTGTCTGTCCTTTCTTCCACCTATGCACTCCTCCCACCTCAACCCCCACCCCCACCCCCACCCCCACCCCCACCTCCTACCTACCAGCCTCTTCTTCACCTCCTTGACCTGTCCATCTTCCCTTGACTGACCATCCCCCACCCTAACTCCCCACCTACACTCTCCTTTATTGGCTCCATCCCCACCTCCCTGACCTGTCCGTCTCCTCTCCACCTATCTTCTCCTCTATCCATCTTCCATCTACCTCCCCGTCTCTCTCTATTTATTTCAGAATCCCCTTCCCCTCCCCCAATTCTTAAGAAGGGTCCAGAACCGAAACATCAGCTTTCCTGCTCCTCTGATGCTGCTTGGCCTGCTGTATTCATCCAGCTCTACACCTTGTTATCCCTGATGGTTTACTTGCTGGAGTGGATGTTATCATGACCTTCGGGTCAGAAGCTCTGGGTTCAAATCACACGCCTTTGTGAGCAATGGAAGTGTGATCATAATGCAGCCAGACAGGGTTGGTCAGCAAGCCACCACTCCTAACAACATGCACGCACACACACACACACACACACACACACACATACACACAAACATGTACACACACACATATACACACACACACACAAGCATGTACACACACACATACACACACACATACACACACATACACATATATACACACACACACACA